GATTAGTTCAGCTGGATAGAATGTCTGCCTACGGAGCAGATGGTCGTAGGTTCGAATCCTGCATCGGGTACTTGTCCATTTGCTAACAAGGGGTAGTTTACGGCGGGGAATCTCAAGCGGTACACCAACAGTCGTATGATACTACACCAACATGACAGCCGTAGAGTGGTGCCTCTTTTGACATCTACACGCGCGCGTCATCCGCCTCAATGAGGGACCTAAATTGCGCGATACCCGAGGGATTCGAACTCTCGCGGGCTGAGTCCAACGGCTTATCAGGCCGCCGCCTTAATCACTCGGCCAAAGTACCCTCTACACTGAGATCTCCTGCTACGTTTTACATACATGCTCTGACCGAGGAGGATTTATCATGCTTTGTCAGCGCACCCTGTGCATGACGGTCTGTCTTCTCGGAAGGCTTGGGTTTGTTCCGTTGACTAGTCAATTACTATTGCATACTCGATGGGTTCCTGCTATCCACTGGATGCATCCTCTCGGGGCCTCGCCCGGCAGGCAGTGTTGAGTGTGGAACCAACTAAAATGCTCAACGCGTCTTATGTCTTTGAGTTAAACTCAAGAGTGTGATAGTGGGCGACGTCTAACAGATGTTGCACGCGGGCAACTGTGACCAGATTCGACTGTAAAGAATCAGCCTATTCAGACTTCGTCTCGTATTGGTCGTTTAGCTCAGTCGGTTAGAGCATCGTGCTAATAACGCGAGGGTCGCAGGTTCGAGCCCTGCATCGACCAGTGATTTTGCGGTATGCGATTTGCCCTCAGACACTCGGTCACTCACATATGAAATTTCGCGCACGCGCACGACCAACTTTGTGGCAGGCGGGGTGTGTGTCTCGGAGACACTGTCTCCTCTGGCGCAAATGGTACTGAGCGCACAACACGGATTTTACTGCGTGACTCATCTCCCCATAGACAGCTGATGATTACCTGGCTTTCCGACTATCTCCAAAATTTGGGATACAGGTTCTCCCGTCAAGGTCTGAATATTCTTCGTTTAAGCGGCTTTGGCGCAGTAGGTAGCGCGTAGGTCTCATAATCCTAAGGTCGCGAGTTCGATCCTCGCAGGCCGTATGCTATACGGCGTATCGCGATTCGTCCATTATTGTTTCGTCCAGGATTGTTTCGCCCAGATCGCAGTTTATCCAGGATCGTTTCGTCCACTGTGATTGTGCTCGTTTCGTACACATTTGTTTCGTCCATGTAGGGTTTCGTCCACGATTGTTTCGTTCATGCTTGCTTCATGCAAAGATGCGTCTTTCATGCAAAGATGTGCTGACAATGCGCGTTTCGTACATGACCTTCTCGTCCAATAGATATTCGTCCACGCTTGTTACATTCACAAAACATACTGGGTCTATTAGAAACCTGGTATGAGATAATAGATAGGATAAGTAACCTTGAAATAACCCGAATGTTGATTATCCGATTGAGTGGAATATGCGGAGCGAAGCGCATGTTTGGTAGACTTTGATACGACGTTTTCAAGCATAATCCGATGAGGAAAGTTGAACTTGATGGTGAAAGTTGAACTTGATGGTGCTCGTTAGTCCAGTTGGTTAGACCGGTCATCGGCGCATCAGAAGGTCGTCAGTTCGAACCCAGATAAGTCATCCCCGGAGAACTAACAAGGTTCGGCCAAACGCTAATTTTCGACATATGTGATGCCGTGACGGCATCAAATACGTCAAAAATTGGCGTGGACGAAACGAGCATGTACGGATCGAAATGTGCATGTACGAAGCGCATATGGATGAAACGAGCAGATGTAGAGCGAAAATGGGAGAAACGGCGTGGACGAAAGAAGCATGGGGAAAAAGCACGTGGGTGAACTGCAAGTGGACGAAGTGAGCTGGAGAAAACGCGCATGGATGAAAAGAGCTGGACGAATCCGCGCGTGGACGAAACAATTTTGGACGGAACATACCGTGGACGAAACAACACTGGATGAATGGGCAGAGAGTAGCGCGAGTAGATGGCAGCGAGTTAAACCGAGCCTCGGCTCGTATGCAGAGGTTTGCCGCCCGCCGATTCACGTCCAGTTAATTCGCGCCTGTTGCGCCCTCCGTTCCATATCTACAGTATATTGTCTACTACAGTACAGCTTTTTACACCCGCACACAAACACACTCGCGAGCACAGGCACACTATCACACCATGCGCATGTCACACTCTTGTGAGCGCGTATATACTCTCACACTCAAACTTCTCATGCCGGACAAGTTATCCATAGATTTGACAAACTAATTTTCCAGATATTTTTTCAGCCTTCTTAGTGTCACACTCTTGTGAGCGCGTATATACTCTCACACTCAAACTTCTCATGCCGGACAAGTTATCCACAAATTTGACAAGCTACCTTTCCAGATTTTTTTTAGCAGCCTTCTTAGCTTAGTTGGTAGAGCACCCGCTTAGTAAGCGGGAGGTCGTCGGTTCGACTCCGGCAGAAGGCTTTCGACATATAGGCGGTTTGCAACAAGATTTGTCTTTTAACACTTTTTACAACAAACCGCCCGCCGTTTCACGTCCAGTTAATTCGCGCCTGTTGCGCTCGCCGTTTCATATCTA